ACTTGTAGGTGGTATGTAGCCAAGCTTGTAAAGCATAAGGTAGTATTGAAACGATTATAGGAAAAGCTCAATTTGTAAGGTAGTCTTGAAAAGATCGCTTTGTAAGGTCCCACACAGGAAGAGATTCAGCTAGCCTCAAAGAGTGTCCATCAGTCAGGAAGAGATTCAGCTAGCCTCAAAGAGTGTCCATCAGTCAGGAAAAGATTCAGGTATTCTTAAAAATATCAATGAACACCACCACCATGGAAGCCGCTAACACTGTTCATCTATGCTACTTGTATCAGATGCATCATCACTGAACGCAGAAAACGATTCATCTATGTATCATCTATATACATTAGAGATGGCAAGGGTGGGGCTCAGAGCTACACCTGGATACGCTCGCTGTATCATCCTCATAGGTGCTGTATCACAGGCATCCGACCGTTGTGTTAAGCCCTTATTGCGCCTAGCTTCACCAATGTTATGACCCTTATGTTCTTCAAACAATAGGGTCTGAATTGCACTGACTGAGTACAGTCTTTCAACACCGTGTGGGACAGGTGTTTGAGAGCCAGAGGCACGTGTGCTACAAATGGTTGCTCACGCACTACTAACCCAGCCAGCAGCCCTTGTCTTTCATATTCGTTATAGCAAAAGGTTCGTTCAGTGTTTGTTGGGTAGGCTGCTCCATTATGACAATCTTTCTTTGTTTCAAATGTGTTCCATTTGTTTTGTATTTATCACTTACGTCTCAATAATGGAGCAGCCTACCCGACAAACACTGAACGAACCTTTATGACATTTGTCCATTTTTCAAATTGTTTCAACAGTTCTTTTATTTTTCATTATTTTTTTTTTTTAAGAAACATGGAGCAGTCGACCTGTAGACCACCGAACAAACATTTTTGACATTTGTACTGGTTTTCAAAATTCTTCATATTTTTTATTATTTACGTTTTTTGTATGTAAGAAACATGGAGCAGCCTACCTGCCGACCACCGAACGAACCTTTTGCTATAAGACAAATGAAAAATAAATATTGAACACATTTGAAGAAAGGAAAATGTCATAATGGTTTATTCAGTGTATGTAAGGTAGGCTTCTCCATTATTGAGACGTAAATGACAAATAAAAAACAAATGGAACACATTTGAAACAAAGAAAGATTGTTATAATGGAGCAGCCTACCTGCCGAACACCGAACGAACTTTTTTGACATTTGTTGTATATCAGATATTTCATTTCTTTTTTCCTACAAAAACGTCAATGCTTTGCAACATCTCAGCAGTCACCCTTTTATATCCCAGCATCATTAGCATCTTTAAACAAGAACAACATAATTTATGTGCATCGTCGGAGGCGTCTAAGAATGTGCAAGCAGCAGCGCGACCCCACCATGTGGTGTTGACGTTACTCAAACCAGCGTTCGTCATACGGGACGATTTGACGCCGATCGGGCCGTTCGTTACCCAAAATATTCGTCTTTTGGGGCAATCGTTATGCGAGGTACCACTGTATTAAATTAAATCTGCTAAAATTAAAGATTGCCATAGCAAAATCACACACAGCATGGGAAACATTAAGGCATGAATAGCAGCTCTGTTAATATGGCTCCAAACAGGTTTTTAATGATTTTTGTAGATGGGAGCAACATTAGAAGAGTGTTGAGGCTTTGGAAAAGCCACGGAGCACATTTAAAACCAAATTCTATTGTTAGTTTTCAATTTGAGATTTCCCAGTTTTCGTTCACAAATATGGGTTTCCTGGAGCCATCTCCTGTTGCAACGAATCCCTCACTTAAACACATTGGGGATGGTCCCATATAGTTCGTTGAATTGAGATTACACTGTGTATATCACAATTGCACTAATGTTTTCTGAAATGTCAGAGAATAGGGTAGACATTGATGTGTCTTATGTTTAGAAACTTACACTTAAATGTTGTCATTGAAAATCTTTAATATATCTTTGTTGGTTCATTTAAAATTAGTTAATATTGTTTTCATATAAAAATACATTATATTATATAATATAATATATATATATATATATATATATATATATATATATATATATATTATATATATATATATATATATATATATATATATATATATATATATATATATATATATATATATATATATATATATATATATATATATATATATATATATATATATATATATATATATATATATATACTGTATATAATATTTCACATGAAGTTAAACATGTTTAATAGTGGACATTGAGAGCAATATTATAAACATATAATGACTGAACCATCTACTGTACAGTGATGTTGCCTTTTAAAGTCAAATCTATTTGTAATATATAATATTTTATCAGTAATAATCTCTATTGTTGATATTAATGTAATTTTTTGTATAATTGCAATTAACATTATGTATAAAACAAGTACAGTATTATAAAAAAATAATATATTACAAATGAAATAACCCTAAACATTTTATCTAGCATTGTACAACTGGTTCCTTCCATTCAGGTAGAGATGGAGCGAGATATATGATGATGTACACATATCCTGAACCATCAATAATATCAGTGAATAGGTAGGCCTATACTTTGACATCTTATGATTGGTTAAACAAGTATAAACTGTAGGTAGACAAGAAGTTGGCAATATAATCCAACTATGGAAGCAACAAGCAAGTAAATGATACAAATAATTTTGATGTTCCAGTTCTCAGTCAATAGTAATATCCAGTACAGCCTTAACATTAATGACATCCTCTAAGACAATTGATGATTTTAAATCACTATTGTGGTTAATCAATTAATTGGAACTTCAGATATGATTTAAGAACTAAATTCTAATGCCTTGCAATGCTGAGTAGGGAAGCAGGGACAACGCAGCCCATGTTTTGAGGTATATAGTTTTATTAATGGATTTTTAGTCTTGATGAAATTTGGTTATAGCACTGTGTTCAAGTAGATATTTAGGGAGTATTTATGCTCCTAAAATCATAATTCACTTGATATGATATGAGCTGGAGTTTGAAGATAAGAGAAACAGGTACTGTACTATACATTAAGAAACACACAGTGAGCAAGATTCATGAGCACAAACTTATTATATACATTGATAGTAACATCAAGTAGCTCACTTTAAAATAAGTATTCAATATCTTGTATATAATGAACATGATTCAAACAAATATGATCAGGGGTCTGAACTTGTGACATTTATGAATCCAACTTTAATTTGTGGCATGAGCCATATAATGTAGATTAATAATAATAATGCCCTGTAATTGTTGACTAATAATAGTTCAGTGATGGTTTTGCTTGCATATATACAAAGTATATTGAATGTATTATTGTTCACAGTGCCAACCTTACTTTGATGATGAAAAGATCTTGATGTAAATTTTTAAATCTTCTAGTTATAATATGATAGCTTAGAACTGAACTTCATAAAATCAACATGAGAACTATTTTTTTTAAAGCTCTGCACCACCACGGACTTATAATTACTTGGTCATACAGTGTGCATCTGGTATTACTCGGCTGGTGATATGCACATTACTTTTACCACAGGTATGTGGTAAAAGTATTACAGTATTAATAAATACAGTGTTAATAAACCATAACTGGTTTATTAATAACCTCTAAATACAACATCAAACAACTACTAATAGCAATGCAGTTCTGTCTGTCAATACATAAAACATGTTCCAAATTAATACTTACCTTATGTGAAACATTGATTGAGACATGGTACATCAGAAGATAGATGTATGCTTGTACAAGTATATGCTTTGATACACAAAGACGTATAGTAGAGATGTATTGCCATTTTATTACTCTTCTCATGACAAAGTAGATCAGTCGTTTGCTTCTTGGATCACATTTTTTACATTAAATAAATTTATGATCACATATTTGTGCTAACACAGTAAAACAGTAAGTACGTGTACATTTACAAGGTTAGTCTATTGTACTCTAAAGACATACAAGTTTAAATGAAATGTCAAGAACATGTCTTGGTTTTATAAATATGAAAAGGAATGAAGTATTACCATACTGTACCTTCAGGTTTGTTTCAAGTGGCAGTAAATTCTTCATACTTAAGTTATTTAAGTACTTGTATTCAGATAAGAATATTCATAATTATGTTATACAGTATAAACGATATTTAACACGAATGAACTAATATTTTAATCTCGTTTTCTAGATTTTCATATAAAACTGTAACCATGACAGTATGTAGATCTATGCTTGTGGTCATGAGTTTATAGAACTATATTTGTAGTCATGATAAAAGTTCCTAGCACCACTGACGTGCACACACTCAACGACTTATAACTTAAGCCTTCACAAGTTTGTACGTACTGTATTACATTATTACCTAAACATATTATGGTAAAATGCTTCCTGCACCAACTCATTAAATTTTCACCATACGAGTTCCTGAAGCTCCAGGTAGCTTGTTCACTTATCACATATTAACTTTAAATACATGCAATAAAGAACACAGACACTGCAACACTGATATTAAATGCTCATGTTTCCAAAGTCTCAGTGTTAAAACTTTTGTGCAGGTTTCGTAAATAATTCTGCCAAAGATTATTTCAGTTTTCAATAAATTTGAACAGCATCAGCAGTCTGACAATTTTCTTTTCTTCTAATTTATGAAAGCAAAAGAGTACCTGAATAGTCAGAAGTCTGACAGCTGTATATTTTATTATCTTTACTACACATTTGTTTTCAACCTTATGGACCACAGTTCACCTTGACTTCTCCAGTGAGGCATTTTCCATTTATACCAGGACTTTAAGAGCCAGGTTCTCTCTCTAAAATCATGTTTTTGGAACTTTTTTGGTAAAATATCCAATCTTTCATCTTCTCCATAACAGAAAGACCACCGCTTGACATTTTTAAAAGTGGAAATGGCATCCTTTTCATTTACTTCACTGCAAAACACAGAAAATGGATCTTCTGGCGGTACACAGATCCAGGAGCTTTTGTCATTACCTTCCACATGTACAACAACGTAAGAATGGGTTTCTGACTTCTGTGCATTTGGACAGCTTTCAGTAGCTCCTTTTGCTGGAAAATAAATTCTCTCTATTTTGCCATCAGAGGAAGCAATGTCAAATTTTTGGTTTTCTTTACTGAAGCTAGAGGGATGTTCACACATCAAATGTGTGTCTTCCATCTTCCTGGATGACAGAAGATTTGTGGTTACTTTCTGAGACCTTTGTAGAGGTTGAGGCAGCGAGGAGGAGCTGGAGAGGTACATATTCTTTTTCGATACTGGCAGTGTTGGTGGATACCGTGTTTTTCCCACTGATGTCTCCTGTTAAATTAAATATTGCATGTGAATATTAAAACAAAACTTTAAAGCTAAAACCCTTTAGCTTTATTGCCAGTTGCCTATACTACCTGTTGACTGTTTCTTGATATATTCATAACTTAAATGGGCACCGAAATTTAATCAAATAGTGTATCATTTTTTGTTTTACTTGATGTAAACAATAGACGTTTATTCATTCATTTTCATTATCATTGTCCTCTTTAATGGAGAGGACAATGACAATAGTTTTTATTGGCATCAGCCAATAAAAAAAGAAACAAATACATTGAAAGGTTATATTTATAAAAATTATTAAAAAAAAGAAAACTAGGTTAATTTTCCATTACAGTAAGATTGAAAAAAAAAAAATAATAGTTATCGAGCTATAGCGACTAACAAAATTGTAATAGCCCCTAGGTTTAAATACTGAAGTGATTTTATAGATCCATAACACAATGCCCCTCCACAACAAGATTTTGGTTTAAAAGCTCTTTAAATACATAAATAAAGTAGTCTGTTTAGTACCAGTCAGGTTCCCCAAGTAAATAAAGACTGCATCTGGTCAAAGGTGTCGTTAGTTCTGATAATGTCTCCTGCTGTCTGGTTAGCACTTGGAAAGTCAGCATATTGTAAGACTAGCAACTTCAGAGTTTGTATGCGTTAAGCCATTGAGGACTGGGGATTGGTAGGCAAGTCATTAGCAATTACCATGGTTGTTTAGCTAATATTGAAATACATTTTATTAGGGTGAATAACTTATGGATTTGCCCGAGGCTGCTGTGGATGGGTGGTGGTATAAGACAGTATTAAGGAGAGAGATTTGTGGATCATATTGACGGACTATGGTATGTACAGTATTTAATGAAGTGATTCAGAAAGTGCCCATGTTTCCATGTAAATGCTCAACCTTAATTACCTATTTGTAATAGAGAATTTAAGCAATAGGTTGTTTTCCAATTATTTAATATGTTTAAATTAGCATGTACAGTACTGTAAATGAATGATAGTATGACAAAGTACAAGTAATGGGTCATTGGTTCATGATAATAGTTTCCCATTGTAAGGGACAGGATGCTTGTTGGACTTACTGAGCCCCCCCTCCCCCAATCCCCCCATCCCAGATTAATGTTTACCCTTCAATGATCAATGCTTACCCTTCCCAGGATGCAACTTACAAAAATTGCCTACCAGGTACTGTACCTATTTTACTGCTACTTGAATAGAGGCATTGGGTGAAAGGAAACGTTGCTCAACTGCTTTTGCCCTGCCACAGGAATTGAGCCGGGATCTTTTGGCAGCAACTACTGTGCTGACCACTGGGGTTATAGGTATAAATATCACTTGGTGGTTACCACACTATGGTAACATTATTATTTTTTGACGGCCCATTCTTGAGGTTATCTTGAGATGATTTCGGGGCCTTTTTTTTTTTTTTTTTTTAGTGTCCCCACGGCCCGGCCCTCAACCAGGCCTCCACCCCCAGGAAGCAGCCCGTGACAGCTGACTAACACCCAGGTACCTATTTTACTGCTAGGTAACAGGGGCATAGGATGAAAGAAACTCTGCCCATTGTTTCTCGCCGGCGCCTGGGATTGAACCCAGGACCACAGGATCACAAGTCCAGCGTGCTGTCCACTTGGCCGACCGGCAAGCGGCCCATGACCAAAGTACGGTAACAACTAATGGACCACTCTTTGTAATGAAGTAAAAGTCTGCTCAACAAATGCTTTATTGAAAAGTAATGTAAAGTAGCATTTAATTCCCTCATTATATTTTCCAATCCCATTATCTTAACTATGTAAACTGCAGAATTATATTTACCCAAGAACCTTGTGTATAATTCAGTTTATTAACATCTCAAAATACATAACTCCATCAGAATAACTGCTCTTGCTACTCCCTTTTCCTAGTACAGTACTGTACTACCAACACATTCTCACCACCAAAACTTGAGGCTCATATGCTACCTGTCAATATGTTAGCTATAAAATGCTCCCAGGTTATTAAGCATGTCTACTTTGCAATAAGTTTCAAGGTAATGAAAGTAGTCATATTCTCAATCTATACGAGGGAGCCGGTCGGCCGAGTGGACAGCACGCTGGACTTGCGATCCTGTGGTCCTGGGTTCGATCCCAGGCGCCGGCGAGAAACAATGGGCAGAGTTCTTTCACCCTATGCCCCTGTTACCTAGCAGTAAAATAGGTACCTGGGTGTTAGTCAGCTGTCACGGGCTGCTTCCTGGGGGTGGAGGCCTGGTCGAGGACCGGGCCGCGGGGACACTAAAAAGCCCCGAAATCATCTCAAGATAACCTCAAGAAGATACCTCTGTCATTTTGTTAATGAGAAAAATTGGCAGAAATGCAATGTATATTTAGTGATTTTGCAAAGCCAGGCATATTGTATTGTAATATTCTTTTACCAAATGTATAATATGAGTCATTTGTACACCATAGTCTGCCAGAGAGTAAGGAACTGTATTACTCTATCAAAATTAAGACTATTTAAAAACAAAGTCAATTATGCAAACTGTACTTGCATTTGATTTCCTTTATTCAATTGCCAACAATACCCTAAACAAAAAACTTACTGATCAGCTCCAATTGTGGCTTGTTATGAAATTAGTTTGATATTGGGTTCAAGCCCTATCAATCATGGGAAGGTTACCTGGAGAGGGTTTCAGTTCTACTACTCCCCGAGCCCGGCCTGGGGCCAGACTCAACTTGAGATAAGTCGAGCCTGTTGGTTATTATGGTCATATCTTGAGGGTTATCTTGAGATGATTTCGGGGCTTTAGCGTCCCCGCGGCCCGGTCCTTGACCAGGCCTCCTTTTTGTTACACACCCGCTGGGAAGCAGCACGTAGCAACTGTAACTCCTAGGTACCTATTTACTGCTAGGTAACAGGAGCATCAGGGTGAAAGAAACATTTTGCCCATTTGTCTCCGCCTCCACCGGGGATCGAACCTGGAACCTCAGGACTACGAATCCGAAGCGTTGTCCACCCAGCTGTCAGAAGCCCTTTAAGATGTTAGGTTACATCACAGTTACGGTCACGTTAAGGTTATTAAGGCTAAAAAAAAAAATTACTTATCGACTAGCAAGTAAACTGTCATTGTAAATACACTTAAGTAGGGTACGTCCGTCTCTTCAGACTTTTGACTACTGTAGTAATAAACTTATAGTTGGTGTATGTCACAGAGCTGACTCGGCTAGTCTAGCATGTTATCCCTATGGATCATTTTCTACTTAAATTAATAGCATTAGTCCTCCAAAATTATCAATTTAAGAAGGTTGGGCTCAATCTAAATAAGTTTGTACCGAGTACTAAGTGGGGTAGCATATGCAAGTTAATAAGAAAATTAATAATGTTTACTGGTACCTAACAAATGGCCAGACACTGACAATTAGTATTAAATATTGAAAATTGTAAGAATTTGCAAGTGCGATTTAAAGAGGGCACAATGTACACTGGGTCGTTCTTAAAGGCCAGCTGAATGTTGCACTAGCAGGCTCTAGCATACTGCAGCATAAAGGACATTCACCTTGTTCAGCTGATTAATATTCTGTACAAGTGTCTAAATTATATTAAAAGATCTAAGCTGCTGATTATACCAGAAATAAGAAATAAAATCCTAACAAAAATATGCTGTATTCAAATATTGAAATTATAAACAAATACTGTAATGTATTAATAATTCTAAGGTACTGCTACATTAACTAAGCATACAAAGTGGTATAATAAACAAGGGGTACATGCTTATCTACAGAACTTTCTACAAACTAAAAGAAAGTGAAAAACTGCTGGTTGAGTTACAAGTTACAGTGTACATTGAAGAAGAGGGAAAGCACCACCCCAAGTGGAAGGTTTAAGGTCTACAACTGCATAAGTGCATGGCTCAATTAGGCATATAACAATACCCCAGACATTAATAAATGGGATGTTGATAGCTGGTGCAACAATCATTACAAACTCCGGGCAACAGTAGAGCGAGTAAGAGTTACAGAAATCGGCATTCATATGTAAAAGATAAGATGGAGAATACAGAAGAGTCAAGAGGGGTGCAGGTTAGTAGAAGGGGGGGGGGAGTTAACAGCAGTGGGTGGGTGGCAAAAACATGCTAGAAAAACAGTAGATGAATAAGGATATAAATGCAAAAAAGAGAACTGTAAAGTACACTAAAGGAGTCTGATATGTGAAGCAAAGCCAAGAGATGAGCAGGAAGCTAAGTGAAGGAAGTTGGTGTGAAGCAGGTGGAGCAGATCAATAAAGAAATCAATCTCAACCAGCAGAGGAAGAACACTTCAGGTTGATATGACAGCAAAACAATACGAGAAGCTAATGGACAGATCAGGTAAACCATGGTCAGTATAAATGATGACAGGAAAGTTATGGCAAAAAAAAAAAAAATGAAGGCAAACGTTAAAGGTACACAATGATCATTTTTTTCTCCAGCAAGTGAAGAACGTCTCATGCATTATTAGCTGGCACTTATTATCAAAGTGCAACACACATAAGAGGAGAAAAACAAACGAAAGATATCTACTAAGATATGAAGCTCATGGGCCTCATTAAATAGGCGGCTGGTACTTTATACCTTCATAACAAGGGGTCTATCACGGCAGGCTGGGCCTCTACTCTTGGCTGGGCCTGCAGTAAGTAAAACAAGAGGGGGTCTCAATACAAGCAAGTCTAGCTAGTGTTATTTGGCAAGGAAAAGTACAAGGCAGAGGTTTGCATAAACAGCGTGAAGATATCAGAGTGTAATATTGAAGAGACATACACAATGAAGCCAATTATGGTCCAGTTGGTAGTGTATGTGTTTAGGGAGTCAACTGATGTGGGTTTGATCCCATCATATGGCTTCAATGTTCTATCGTCGGCAGAAAAACTGGTAATAAAAAAATAACTAGAATAATAGGAATAGTCTTGAAGACTGCAAGCTTCGTGACTAGTAAACATCCACTGTCAGGAAAGTCAAGAGAAAGAAGCTCAAGAGAAATAAA